TATCTTCCATAGCCAGCTTTCCCGTCAATTTCTCAAATTGTTTCTTGGACAAACCCTTTGTAAGAACATCTGCAATCTGTTCATCAGTTGGTATATAGGTTAGAAAAATCTGCTTGTTCTTTATTTTCTCCTTGATGAAATGCTTTTCTACCTCAACATGCTTGGTTCTGTCATAAAGAACAGGATTATGTGCTATTGAGATTGCTGCTTTGTTATCACAGTATGCCTTTATCGGAGAGGGACTTGAGACCTTCAGTTCGTCTAAGATTCTCTTAAACCCACAACACCTCGCAAATTCCATGGGCAACTGATCCAATTTGGCTTCAGCAATGCTTTTTGCCTCCACATTTTGCTTTTTACTACGCCAAGTAACAAGTTTTCCTCCAACAAAAGTACAGTAGCCAGAGGTTGACCTTCTATCGGTTATACTCCCAGCCTAGTTTGCATCCGTATATACTTCAATTTGTAGGTGACCGTATTTTTCAAACAGTAGGCCCTTCCCTGATGATCCCTTTAAGTACCTTAGGATTCTGTACACAGCCTCGAAGTGTTCTGGACCTGGTGAGTGCATAAATTGAGTTACCATGCTCACTGCAAAAGCTATATCTGGGCGAGTATGCGATAGATAAATCAGTCTACCAACCAGTCTCTGAAATTGTTCCCTGTTCTTCACATCTTCGGGTTTAGCAGATTGGAGCTTCAAATTAGGTTCAATTGGTGTCTCTGCTACCTTGCAATCGAGTAGACCTGTCTCTCCAAGAAGATCCAGCACATATTTTTGTTGAGACACGAAGATGCCCTCTTTAGACCTAGCAAACTCCATTCCAAGAAAATACTTTAAGGCTCCCAAGTCCTTGATCTCAAAGTTATCAGCAAGAACTCTCTTGAGTCTTTTGAGCTCAATATAATCATCACTTGTTAATATTATATCATTAACATAAACAATCAAAATAGCAATCTTTCCTTCTTTTATAGAACATAGTGTGATCTGCCTGACTTTGTGTATATCCGTGGCCCTTTACAACTATCCCAAATTGCTCAAACCATGCTCTGGGAGATTGTTTGAGGCCATACATGTATTTTCTTAGTCTACACACTTTCCCTTCACCAAGAAGTTCATTAAACCCCGGTGGTAGGCTTATAAAGACTTCCTCTTCCAAATCCCCGTTTAAGAATGCGTTTTTTACATCTAGCTGGTGTAATGGTCAGTCAAGACTAACTGCTAAGGATAGTAAGACACGGATTGAATTAATATTTTTGACTGGAGCAAAAGTCTCCTTGTAATCAATACCGTGTGTCTGTGTAAATCCTTTTGCCATTAAATGCGCCTTGTACCTTTCTATACTTCCATCAGCTCTACACTTAACTGTAAACACCCATTTGCATCCTACCGTTTTCTTCTCCCTTGGTAAGTTAACTATCTCCCAAGTCCCATTCTTTTTTCAGAGCATTCATCTCTTCCAAAACTGCCAATTTCCCATCCGGATTATCTAAAGCTTCTTGAATGCTTCTCGGGATAAACAGGTGGGAGATTTTTGAGGTAAAAGCTTTATGAAACTTAGAAAGCCTATGGTAAGACACATATTTAGCAATAGGATGTTTTGTACAGGTTCGGACTCCATTTCTAAGTGCTATAGGTACATCAAGATCGAAAGCAGCAGGAGTGGAATTTGACAAAGAAGGATTAGAGTTACCTGGAGTAGTAGATGGACCATCGCTCGGAGATAGTGGTTGGTCTTGTGCTAGAGTTGTAGGCAAGTCTTTATTTTTTTGATGAGTACTCCTAGTGTAAACACGAAGCTCTGAGTCTTGACTAATAGAAGTGGAAGGATCAAGAACAGGTACGTGAAAGAAGGTTTTAAGCAGAGGAACAACATTTTTTTGATGAGTACTCCTTCTAGTGTAAATACGGAGCTTTGAGTCTTGACTATTAGAGGTGGAAGGATCAAGAATAGGTACGGGAAAGAAGGTATTAGGCAGAGGAACAGCTCTTTCCCAAAACTGAGCTTCATTATTCACTATCGCCCCCTGAAGGCAGTTTTGTCCAAAGTAAGACTGACTTTCCATAAACGATACATCCATACTCACAAAAGTGTTTTTTATTTTAGGATTATAACACTTGTCTCCCCTTTTATTTGGCGCATAACCGATAAACACACATTTTTCTGCCCTAGGATCAAGTTTGGATCGAAGCCTACTAGGTATGTGAACAAACATAGTGTACCCAAAAATTTTCAAGGGTAATTCAGAGAAAAGTCGACGTTCAGGGAAGAAGTTTTTGAAACACTCTAAAGGTGTAATATATTTTAAAATACGAGTAGACATTCTATTTATCAAATAAGATGCTATCAAAATAGCATCCCCCCATAGATATTTTGGTACATGCATTGAGAAGATAATGGCACATGCAACTTCAAGTAAATGTCTGTTTTTTCTCTCAGCAATACCATTTTGTTGAGGAATATCACTACAAGTAGATTGATGTTGAATCCCTTTTTTTTTCAAAAAAAAAAATTTCCCAAAAATTGAGTGAAATACTTAGTTCCATTATCAGAATGAAGTATTCTTATTTTTGTTTGAAATTGGTTTTCAACTATATTATAAAAATTTTTGAACAAATTTTCAACTTCTTTATCATTCATCAAATATACCCAACATAGCCGAGTGTGATCATCTATGAAAGTTACAAACCATTTTTTTTTGCAGAAGATGTGGTAATTTTTGAAGGACCCCAAACGTCACTATGAATCAAGTAAAATGGTTTTGAGGCACAATATGGTTTTGAATTGTAAGTAGTATGATGGCTCTTTGATAAATGACAATTTTCACATTGAAAAAATGAACAATCCACAATTTTAAATAGAACAGGAAATAGATACTTCAAATAAGAAAAACTAGGATGTCCTTGTCTAAGATGCCAAATCATTATTTGTTCACGGACAGAGAGAGAACTAATACTAGTACCAATGCCTTGAGCTTGTTCATTACGGAGTAAGTTATCATCAAAATAGTAGAGACCGTCCACCATTCTAGCACTGCCAATCATCATCCCTGTGCTCAGGTCCTGAAAATCACAGTGAGAGTCAAAAAAGGTAGCACGACAATTAGAATCTTTAGAGAGTTGACTCATGGATAAGAGATTACTGGCATGATTAGGGACATGAAGGACAAATTTTAGGGTGATTTTTTTAGAAATTTTGATTGAACCTTTTCCTGCAATAGATGAAAATTTTCCATCTGCATTTTTAACTTTTTTATTACCAGAACAAGGCGAATAAGAAATACATGAGAGAGATTTGTCATGTGATCAGAAGCACTCGAATCAATGATCCAAGGTGTGGGACTAGAATGACAAGAGAAAGCACTAGAGTTACTACCTGTTTGAGCCAGAGAACACTAGGAATACCAGACTCTGGATTGGATTTCAGCAGCTTCAGAAGATGATCCATCTGCTTTTTACTAAAGGGACCAGCATCAGCCTCATTTGCATGAGCAGATCGGTCTCTAGGTTTGCTGCTCTTCCAGTTTGGCGGGTTTGCCATGAATCTTCCAGCATGTCTTTCGTGTATGGCGGGGTTTGTTGCAGAAATCACACCATATCCGAGGCTTGTCCTCGGTTCTGCGCTAGCTATTGGAAGTTCTGCTCATATTTGCATCAGCAGCGACTAGGGTAGAATTTTCAATTGATGCCCTAGCCCCCTTTTTTCCGAGCATAACACTACGGCGGCTTTCCTCCCTCCGAACTGAGCAAATACCTCTCAAAATGAAGGAAGAGGACCACGACCAATGATCCTTCCCCTTACTTCATCAAATTCTACGTTCAGGCTAGCGAGAAATTTGTAGATGCGATCGTTTTCCACTGTCTTCTTGTGGTGATTGCAATCATCTGGAGATTTCCATTCATAGTCATTGAAAATATCCATATCCTGCCACAACCTTTTCAACATATTGAAGTATTTGGTGACGTTGTCTCCCCTTTGTCGAATTTCTCCGCGCTGTGGTTGCAGTTCGTACACTTGGGATTGATTGCCAAGGTCAGAATACATCTGGTGAATATTATCCCAGAGTTCCTTGGTAGTTGGATAGCACATATCGTATCCTTCAAATCAGGTGCCTTTGTTTCACCAGTCAGGTGCCCAATCTTTCCTCTCTCTCTAATATACATACACACTGATTCAGACCAGCGCAGAATGGTTATCTGAACAGAGTGCGAATTAGAATTGGGACCACAGTTTTCAGTAGGCTTAGAAGAGACTACAGATATCATGAGAAGCTAGGGTTTCGATTTGAGAGGAAAAAGAAAAAAAATGTGGAGTTTACCAAGGAATAAGTCTTGGTATTTTTTCGGAATGCATAAAAGAGTCAGAAATGAAGTTCCTACTCTGATACCATCTAAACCACAAGGAATTAGGAGAGAATTGTTTTAGTGAAATGGTATTTCATTGATACTGAGAATGATATACACGTACACTACTTATAGGCTATACAAGGCACTAAAAAAGGAACAGAATAACTATACAACTAATTTTCCTTATTTACAAAGTTGACTAGGCCTATATTTAAACATAAAATACAACTAGGCAATCCCTAGAGATCAACAATAAATCTCAGCCGAATATTCTCGTTTCCAACAAAAAGAAAAGTAATCTACTACATGAAAATGAACAGATTGCCAAAATAGTATGAACAGTGCCTATTGCAAAATTACTACAGCGACTGAAGCTAAAATAGTGAAACAACCTAAAACTACCATAAGCACTTATTTTCATACCACAAATTCACAATTATTTCTTGATTGACCTGAGGTGCAAGACCTAGATTTCTGGCTTCCGAAGATGTGCAACTGCCAAGAATTGACCAAGATAGCTATCGCATAGTGCCCGGGGATGTTTTGGGGGGGGTGGGGGGGTGGGGGGTGTGTGTTGGGGGGGGCGGAAGATCTTCGATGTTCAGCTGTGGAATCTGTTCCAAAATTGAGGCTTCCAACTTTCCTTGTGCAGATGATGTTGGTGGACCTGACAATAGAGTTCATGGGATTGGTCCCAGTCATTGTTGCTTTTGTAGACCGCTTGTTGGGCTGTAATGAGCACCATTGGTTGGGAGAGCGCTTGCTTCAGACATTTGATGAGCATTTGCTTCCAAAAGTCATGGTAGACTACAAATTGGTATCTTACCTCCCAATATTTGATAGAATTGCTGAGAACAATACGGTTCCTCCTGGTGGATTGTTGGAGCTGCTTACCAGGTTCATGATTTTCCTTGTCGAGAAACATGGCCCAGACGCCGGATTGAAATCTTGGTCTCAGGGAAGTAAAGTTCTTGGCATCTGTCGAACGATCCTGATGCACCACCACAGCTCCAGGTTGTTCCTTGGACTATCACGTCTTCTTGCATTTACTTGCCTTCATTTTCCTGATTTGGAGGTTCGTGATGATGCAAGGTACATATTGCCTTTTCTTGTTTATTTGTTTTCTTATTTTGTTTTATCTTTGGCTTTTCTATTTCAATCAGCATGTTTTACAGTTTATATGCTCCTTTTAATCACGAAGATCCAAGTAAAAATGATTTGAAAAGCATAAACAGCCTGTGAGAAGGAAGAAAAAAAAAAAAAAACCCATCAATATCTGATGCATGCTACAAATTCTCATAAATATGGCATTTTGCAGGATCTACCTGCGGATGCTTATCTGTGTGCCAGGAAAGAAACTCCGGCACATACTTGATCTAGGGGAGCAATTACCTGGCATTTCACCATCTTCCCAGCCCAGCTCATTCTTCAATGTTCAGTCTCCTCGACCTTCTCGTGATCTCAAGAAATTCGGGAATATTACATCCTACATCCACCTTGAGCGGGTGATACCGCTGCTTGTCAAACAATCTTGGTCATTGTCCTTATCAACTCTAGGTATCAGTGGCAATGAAACTGGTTTTTTAGAGGACACCAGGGACAATGAAGCCCTGGTTGACCAAAGGGAGCTTGATGGAGGTACTAGTATCCAGATTATCTCGAAAACAGAAAGAATTGATCAGCCACGGGAGCCATTACGTGTGATGGATTCAAAAATTGCAGAGATAGTTGGAACATTAAGAAAACATTTTTCATCTATTCCTGATTTCAGACACATCCCAGGCATCAAGATAAGAATATCCTGTAGTTTAAGATTTGAATCAGAGCCTTATAATCACATATGGGGTCTGCCTGCTAATGGTTCTGATGGAACAGATGCACTTCCTGCCATCTATGCAACTGTGCTAACCTTTTCTTCTTCAGCACCGTATGGGTCTATTCCATCATATCACATACCTTTTCTTCTAGGGGAACCTCCCAGAAATGATTATTCCTTGGTGCAAAGGGATTCCTTAGAAATTGTTAATGTCGGAAATGGTTTAGAAAAAGAAACAACCTTCAAAGCTCCTGTTATGATTGAATTGGAACCACGGGAACCAATGCCTGGTCTTGTTGATGTGTCGATTGAAACAAATGCAGAAAATGGTCAAATAATCCTTGGTCAGCTTCAGAATGTCACTGTTGGCATTGAAGACATGTTTCTTAAGGCTATTGTCCCATCTGACATTCCGGAAGTTGCAGTACCTGGTTATTATTTCGATTTATTCAGTGCTCTGTGGGAGGCATGCGGTACTTCTTCCAGTACTGGTCGAGAGATCTTCCCGTTGAAAGGAGGCAAAGGGGTTGCAGCAATCAGCGGGACCCGGTCAGTCAAGCTGCTTGAAGTTCCTGCAACCTCTTTGATTCAGGCTGTTGAGCAATACTTGGCACCTTTCGTTGTTAGTGTTATTGGTGAACCCCTTGTCAATATTGTGAAGAGTGAAGGAATCATCAGGGACATTATCTGGAAGGATGTGGCTTCAGATTCTGCCTTTGATGTTACTATCTCAGATACAAAGTTTAATAAGGGCCCACTTTATCTCAAATACATTGAGGATGAGGATGATAGAGAAAGTCATGTTCACATCAGCAAGAAAAACATGGGTTGCTTTCTCATTTTGATATTCCTTCCACCCAGATTCCATCTCCTTTTTCAAATGGAAGTATGTGATGTTTCGACATTAGTTCGAATTAGAACTGATCACTGGCCATGCCTAGCTTATATCGATGACTACCTGGAAGCTCTATTTACTCTATAGAATGTTTTTTTTTTACCCCCTTCTCTGGCGCATGTAGTTTCTCTGTTTTTGTTGTTGAAAGATCATTGCAAGTACTCTAAATTCTTTTCCCATATTTTTCCCCAAATCGGAAGTACTATTTGGCACTCAAGAATAAATAGTGTACAATGTACATACCCCTCCTAGTGCGGATCCTTCTTTATGTATTTTTTCATGTACTAGAAATTTCAGAAATGTATTCTATTGGCATCTGCATTTTACTTTGTCAAATTAACTGCGAATGTGCAATCTTTGAATGGGTCATGAGATGCTTTTTCCCATCGTCCGTTTCTTTTTTAATGAACAAGCTTCTTCCCATCCTTAAATTGCCTGGCCATTGCAATCTAACTGATGGTAGAGAAGGTTCCTGTTATTTTCTTGTATTGCCATACTTGTCTCTGCAAACAAAACAAATAGCTATATCATAAGTTGCATGCGAACAAATTTTCTTAACGTAGAGCTTACCCAAAAGTATCTTATTGATGTTCACATGGCCTATTGGCGTGGCGTGTTTAAGCGTAATTTTCTACTTTAAGCGTCCATAGACTCTATTTTATGGGCCTTTTAGGGTGGTTGTATTTACCCACGGAGTATATAAATCTCCTTTCTTCGGGCTTAAAACGTGCAGTGCGAAATATAAGTTGGAATTACTGTGAAGAGAGAATGTGGGATGCATATTCCTACTGAAGTATTAAAGCAGCCTTGAAACATTTCAGATTGCTGCCTGGGGATGGCACTATGCGTCTCTCATTTTTTGTGTGTGTAGGGGAAAGCTCATCTCCGGGGAGAATAAGCTTGTCCTCACTATTTTGTTGGATAAAAAACATTGTTGAGCATTTCCAATGCAAAATGCTATATTTCTATGCCAAATCTATATTTTGAGAGGGGGTACAGTGTCAAAAAATTATATTTTTGCAATTTTGTTCCAATAGTGCATTTAATCCAAAATGCAATTTTTTTACACAACAACCATTCCTTGTTTTGAAAGCCCATTGGAATGCCTTATTTTCATCCACTTGCTATATTTTGAGTTTGAGAGGCCATTTGAGAGCTGCTATATTTGGTAATACTTTTGAGAATCTCAAAATATGAAAGGTCTTTTGAGAGGCCATTGAGTGTCTTATTTTCATCCACTTGTTATATTTTGAGTTTGAGAGGCCATTTGTGAGGCCAATGGAGATACTCTCTGTCACCTCATGAAAAAGGTGGGCATTTATGTAATTTTATAAGCCTAACCTCTCCCCCAATGTTTTCTTCACGCGCTCTCCTAACCCTGAATCAGAAATGTATACCAGTAGTATTCTTTGAGTTGTGCAATTGAGAAAACTTTAATCAAGTCTGAGAGGCAAAAAACGTTATTGTTCTCTGTTTCATCAGAGTTACTATTCTTAACTTTGTTGAGGTTCTTTGTGCATAAGAGTTTTGGGTTTTTGTCCAAGATTGTGTGCTTTCTATGGGATGGCTTTTATCTATCCCCCGTTTGACAGTCCTTTGGGTTGTCTGGTCGGAAGGACACAATTGCGTTGTTGTAACGATTCAAAAATTATAATAAAATTCCTCAATTATTTCAAATCACAAATATATAAAAATACTCATAGGATCATAAAAAATAAAAAAATAAAAAGGCCCTTTATTGATACAAAAATCAATTTCCTCAAATAAATATACCAACGCCAACTCTTCCACCTAAGCCCGAAACTAGCAATCCAAGTTCATTCTCGGTACCTGAAAGTGGAAGGGGGTGAGACGGGGGAAGTCCCAATAGGAAAAACCATAGCAAGAATTTTAAGGAGGTTTCGTGAAAATTAACTTTACAAAATATAGATATGGTTTTGAACAAAAATACATATATGCAATTTTAGCAAAATAACAGTCACAAAATATTTGAGATAAAATCACCCCAAACAATTCAAGGTATAAAAAACCCTACCCAAAAAAATAAATTCATCATTGGATCATAAAGTCTTTGTCCATCTCGGCTCTCTGTCTTTCCTCTAATTTTTCTCTTTTTGTGCATCTCTAATTCTCTTTTGTTAACTCACCATAGTCACATGGCAGATACATATATAAAGGCAATCCACCAACACAAAACAAATATCAATACTGCTCACCACACGCCTCCACAATCAAATGCTTCCACTAACACAAAAAATCTCAAATCAATGACAAATAACAAGTGGACCCTGCCACCACCTCTTTCTCACTTATCTTTACTTTTCATTTCCTTATCTTCATATTTCTTTTTATTCTATATACAACAATACAATGTCTCACTCCAACACATCACTCTATTTACAATATGATTAGATGGTCCTGTGTTGCTTCTTTTGACTTTTTTCTTCATTTGATTATATTTTCTTCGTTCGGACTCCAAATCAAGTGATTTTTGAGTCTAAATTTATTAATTTTTCATTGTCTATCCAATGGTATGCATGGTAGCATCCATTCCAGTTTGAAATGACCATTTTACCCATAGTGGTTCATTTTGTCTGTTTTCAATCCTAACTTCCGCATTTGCTTCCGTCGGGTCTCGGGACTCCTCGGGAAGCCACTTTTGTGTCTTAGAGGTGATGTACATTTCTAGAGACCTTGTTTATTTCTTTCGCTTCCGCATTTGGGATACGATATCGGGTCAGTTTCGGGTCACTCGCTAACGCACCGGGTTCTGAGAATTTGGGCCGTCACAAATGGTATCAAAGTTTGAGGTTCGAAAACCTTTAGACAACGGGATTTTGGGTTCATTCATGTTTCTTGCTGACATGCTTTGATGTGTTAGCATGTTTACGTGTTTATATGCTTATGTGTTTAAAAGCATCATTATTTGACACGTATGCGTATATGCTTTTGTGCTTAAGTGTTTTTGTGTTACGCAAGTCTCTTATATGACATGTATGCTTATGTGCTTAAGTGTTTAAAGCTTTTACTGCATGACTTGGTATGACTTAAATGTTCATATGTTTTACAATGTGGGGTTTGTTGGTGCATTCATTGGTGAACTGCATGTAGTCACGAGTGCTTAGAATTGACTGGCTATCCTTTCTCGTCACTCATTGTGTCTTTGACTTAGACGAACTAGTAGGGTATGAGAGAGGCATGTAAGCTTCTTAATTTTCGGTTTTCATGCATTGTTAGATGCATTTTGTAATAGAGCATGCTAGTTGATATTTGTATGTGCTATGTGTGCTTACTATTTGTCTAGCATGATTTGATTCTAAAGTATTAAGCATGACGTATGATGTATGCTAGCTGTTGAGCATGATTACGTGTTAAGTGTTTATGTCAACCTTGCGTTAGGTTATGAACATGCTAGTTGCTACTTGCACAGTTTGTTTTGATTTTTTATCAGACTTTTTGGCATCTTGAGATATGTCTTTCTTGTTGATGTTTTGTGATGGTTGGTGTTGGAACAATCCATTACATTGTCGTTTTGTTGTTTAGTAGTTATTTTTGGGGATGATTCCTTTCCTCCCAGTGAGAGATTGGACTCTTCTATGTTTTTGGGCATGTTTTCTGTGAGAGGCATTCCATTTTTACTTATGATTTTTGTGGCATCGCTATTTGTATAGTCACTCTCACATGTTTATATGTCTTATCATTTTTGAGCAAGCCTTTGAGACATGTTTAGGATATGTGGCTATATGTTGGCTTGTGCTATGATATTGATGATGCGTTTTTCATATACTATATCTGTTTAACATACTAGTTTCATTAATGATGCATAACGTGTCATTGCTTACTTGATCCCTTTGTGATAGATAGCTTATTTGATTAACTTATGTATACAATGTGATATGTTAGTAAGACGTAATCTGGTTTATGTGATTTGATATTATGAGTATGTGCTATGTGGGCGTCGAGTACATGCAAAAGTACATTGTATTGTATTGGAGTTGCATACATATTGTACATATATTTTGAGATTGTGATGCGGTCACTGTATATACGTTTACTTTATGATAAGGGACATGGTCCCAATTTAGCATTTTAATGCTTGTATTTTGTTTTGGTATTCCATTCATGAGTTTTATCTTTACATGGTATTCATGTTATATTATTATTCCTGCATTGATGCATGAGTAGGTGAAAGTGTATCCACATGTATCTTTTTTTTTTTTAGTCTGGCATTCGCATTCCTTACTTATATGCTTAGAGATGCCATGATTTGATTGCGCTTTAGTGATATGATTTTATGCCTACGTGAAGACGTGTTGCATTTATCATTGATTTTTCTTACGTGAGCAGGTTTATCTTTTTAGAAGTGCATTTCCATGATTTATGCATTGAAATCCATGTTTAGTGTTACCATTGTTTCTTTTTCGCATTATATATGATGTCTAGGCTGAATTTTCCTTTTGTTCATTTTGAAAGAACACGAGCTAGTGTCGTGTTCCTTCTGTTTGCACGTAGTGTCTTTACGAGCTTTTACAGTGGTTGCTAACTATTTGTCTAACATGATTTGATTCTAAAGTATTAAGCATGACATATGATGTATGCTAGCTGTTGAGCATGATTACGTGTTAAGTGTTTATGTCAACCTTGTGTTAGGTTATGGACATGCTAGTTGTTACTTGTGCAGTTTGTTTTGATTTTTATCGAACTCTTTAGCATCTTGAGATATGTCTTTCTTGTTGATGTTTTGTGATGGTTAGTGTTGAAACTATCCATTACATTGTCGTTTTGTTGTTTAGTAGTTATTTTTGGGGATGATTCCTTTCTTCCCAGTGAGAGATTGGAACGTAGAGCTTACCCAAAAGTATCTTATTGATGTTCACATGGCCTATTGGCGTGGTGTGTTTAAGCATGATTTTCTACTTTAATCGTGATTTTGAGAGGGGCTACAGTGTCAAAATGCGATATTTTTGCAATTCTGTTCCAATAGTGCATTTAATCCAAAATGCAATTTTTTGACAAATAACCATTCCTTATTTTGAGAGCCCATTGGAGTGCCTTATTTTCATCCACTGGCTATATTTTGTGTTTGAGAGGCCATTTGAGAGCTGCTATATTTGATAATACTTTTGAGAATCTCAAAATATGAGAGGTCTTTTGAGAGGCCATTGAGTGCCTTATTTTCATCTACTTGTTATAATTTATGTTTGAGAGGCCATTGGAGATACTCTCTGTCACCTCAAGAAAAAGGTGGGCATTTATTTAATTTTATAAGCCTAACCTACCCCACTTTTTGAAACACATCGCTCCCCCAGTGTTTTCTTCAC